TTTCAGGAAGTATCTTCTGGCCTGCTTATCTTTTCAGGTGGAAATTTCCCTTCAGAAAATTCTGGATGCTGTTCAGGAATCCACCTATGGTCTTGGGTAAAACAGAGATTCCGCAGGAAGCCTCCATCACTGGGCACGTTGTAGCCCCATTTTAGGTATTCCAATCAGTTATAGACAGAAGATGGACTTACAAGCTTTCTATGGTGATATTTCTGGCTATTCCTTTCTCTCCCCCTCCAGTGTCTATTTTATAGTGTTATGCCAGGGAAACCAAGATTCAAAAGACAGAAGCTGTAAATCTTTATGGGAGCAGAAATCCTTATCTTTCTCCCACAGAACAGCTGGTAGTTTTGAACTGCTGACTTTAAGGTTTGCAGCCTGATTCGTAACCACTAGGCTACCAGAGCTCTACAGCTGAAGTAAACCCTATCAGGCAGTTCTCTGTCACATGGGGTCACTATGAGTCACAAACAGACTCAAGAGCTCCTAACAACAACACATGTATATGTGACAAAATGACATTTCAATAGTCTTCACATGGACCGTTCAGTGACATTAATTATGTTCAATCATTACCATTATTCACTCCCAAATGCCTCCATCACTCTTAACAGAAGCTCAAGGTCCCCTAAACATTGAGTCCTCTTCCCCTTCTTCTATCCCACCTTCCCCCGTACCAGTCACTGGTATCCATCTAGTTAACCTCGACTTCATGGCGACCTCATGTGTGTCAGAGTAGAACTGTCCTCTGTAGGGTTTCCAATAGCGGCTGTTTGGGAACTAGAACCCTAGGCCTTTCTTTTGAAGTCTCTCTGGGTGAACTTGAACCTTCAGCTTTTTGGTCAGAAGCAGAATATGTTTACTCATTGGGCTCCCCAGGGGTTTAAACTCACTCCTGGTAAGCACCAATACATTCTGGTCTCTAAATACCTTCTGATCATTTCAGAGTCACAAAGGAGAATGAATTTGACCTTTGTTTGGGTCAACTTCCCCTCTTCCTTCCTGGGCAAATTCAGCCCAAGCGTGCAAAATTGTTTCCACTGGGTGCCCAACCCACACTTGCCACACAGAGTTAAACTAATGTCTGAGAAGCCAAGACCCCACTGGGACCCCACTGGCTGCAGGTCTGAGCCCTGCTGAAACTGTTGTGTGACCTGGGCCCCCTCCGACACTGTCATGACTGCCCCTGGGGTGTCTTGCAGCCTGACCAGACAGGACTGCTGCTGTAGAGGCTTCCGGAATATTCTGCCCCTCCCTAGCAGAGTCTTCTTGCCTCCCTGCCCCCACCTCCCACAAGGCCCAGACTTTCCGTAAATGACAGCGGCTCAGGAAGCCAAGGGGCCCACACAGGAAGGAGCCAGTGGGACTTTCCTCCTGTCACTGCCTGACTCCGAAGTTGATGAGTGTTGTCACCTGCCAGGTAAGTGCTGTCTGATTTGGGCCAGGCAGTGGGGGTGGGCAGCAGGAGCTGGAGGTGGCAGGGCTGGTGAGGGTGCTGAAGAGATAAAGGGAGCCTCCCCACCTAGAAGACATGACATAAGGTTTCAAGCTATTCTTCCCTCTTGAACAGTGGCTTTGTCCTGCATAATTTAATCTTATAGGCCCTGGCTGGGTCATTTCCAGTCTCGCAGTCCCTAGGAAATAGTTCTCAGTCCTGGATCTCTGAGACCCTGGATCACAGCTCAGAGCGACCAAACCTTTGTCTGGTTCTGATGGGTTTCCTGGAGTGCCAGACTTTCACTGTGAAAACAGGGGTGTCTTCTGGGCCCCAGCACTACTTCTGACATTTTTGGTTTTACTATTTTAACACTTATATTAATGTAAGATTTACAAAATTCTTTTGGAGTCCCTGGGTGATACAAATGGTTCACTTCTAGCCAAAAAGATTAGTTGTGTGAATCAAAAAGTGTTCCTTCAAGACCAGCCTAGTGATCTGCTTCTGAAAGGACTCCAGCCTTGAAAATCCTACAAAGCAGTTCTACTCAGCACAAGGGGGGTGGCCAGGTAGTCAGAAGTGCCTCAACGAGGCACTACAACAATCACTATGACAATAATGAAAAGGAAGATTTTTTTGTTTCAGGTGCCAGTTTTAAACACAGTTTTATTTAAGACATGCATTTTCCACTTGCAATACAATTCCAACACTTACAGTAGAACTGCCCCCATAGGGTTTCCAAGGCTGTAAATCTTTATGGAAGCAAACATACATCTTTCTCCTGGGAAGCAGCCCGTAGGTTCAAACTGGTGACTTTTTGGCCAGGTGCTTAACCATTGAGCCACTAGGGCTCATAATGTACAATGTTATTTTTTTTTCCTCTACACATATTCCACAGTCAAGCATTGAGAATGCCTAGAAATTTAGCCTAGCAGCTTAGCATTACAACTGCCACTGAATTTGCTATATATAAATTGAGGTTCTTCAGTTTCTTACTGTAGAATAATACTAAGGTTTGCTAAGATTTAAAAAATATATTATCTTTTTTTTTCAATGTTTCGGGAAAGACAAGAGAGTATGTGGCGTGGTTCCTATGAGGTAATGAACGGAGGGAACCCACTTGGCTGTTAGAATCAGGGTAGTGGTTGCTGCTGTTGGGGTATTGGGGCCAGGGGGGGGGGGAAATCCCTACGCTTCTAGGGCTGGGATGTTCTGATTCCTGGTATGGACACTGGGGACACCTTTTGGAAAGTTCTCATTCCTCTATGTTCTTCCTTTCAGATTACTGTCCTTGGGCTCTTTCATGGCAGGTTTAGCTGACATTTTTCAAGGGCTCATTGGGCACATGGTCAAGGATGACAGAGGTTAAATGGCTGACACGTTGGGCCAGGACTGAGTTCAGCAAAGCACCTCACCCTCATTGGAGCCTGGGGAGTCAGCTCATTTCACAGCCATGAATGCTGAGGCCCAGAGGGTGGGGTCATCACATCAGACCTGGCTCCTGACAGCCCCATGTACAACTGAACCAAACATTACCCTGTTTCATGTCACTCCATCACCATTGCTATGTTTGACTCTATTGTTAAGGACACCGTGTGTCCTTGGTTTCGCTGACCCTCACTGTCTCTGATTCTCTATTAGCCACCATGTCCTTTTCCATTGATTGGTCTTGTTCAATGATGTGTCCAATGTTCTAGTGACAACTCACCATCCTCTCTTCTAAAGAACAGCCTAGTTGTAGTTCTTCTAATGCTGATATACTTGTTCTCCTGGAAATCCACAGTATTTTCAGTATTCCTTACCAACACCACAAGGGAAAACCCTGTGGGATATGGGGGGCCTGAGATTGGAACGTGGAGCCTGGGATCTTCAACTGCCCCCCGCACCAAGTGAATATTCCAGTGTTAAAATCCCTTGATGCCAACCCCTGAAGTCTTGTTGGAACCCTGGTGACTCAGTAAAGTGCTCAGCTGCTAACTGAAAGTTTGGCTGTTCAAACCCACCATCTGGCAAAGATGGCGAGACTTTGTCTTCTGTGCTTTGGACATATTGTCAGGAAGGCTAGTCCCTGGAGAAGGACATCACACTTGGAAAAGTGGAGGGTCACTGAAAAACATGATGGACTGACAGAGTGGCAACAGCAGTGCGCTCAGACGTAACAACAATTGTGAGAATCACACAGTACCAGAAAGTATTTTCGTTTGTTGTGCATAGGGTTATTATGAATCAGAACTGACTCAAAGACATCTAACAACAACTGTGTTCTTTCGGGTCACTTGGAGTTTGGTTTGACTTAACAGCAATGGATTTGGTTTTTGGTTTGAGGATCTTTTTTTTTTTTTTTAATGTATTATGAATTATGTGATAGTTTACATGGGAGAACATCAGTTTTACATTCATCCTTTAGTATATAATTTCATTGCTATGGTTACAATCCCCCCCATGCATCATCAACCATCCAAAGGGTATACACTACAAGCATGCCCCCCATTCATCAGCACACAGCCCCTCTTCCTCTCTTGTGTCTGAAGTCCCCAACAGCTCCATCTCTCCACATCATCATCTCTGCCTCCATCTCAGGCATCACTGCTTCTCTGGGTAGGGTCCCGCTCTCCGCTCTTGGTTTGAGGATCTTTTTGTGGGTCAAAGTTTTTATCCAAATTCTTTTTGGAGTCAAGTCCAGTGTATCCTGCCCACCTTCTCCCCTTTACTTACTGGACTTGAGGACCAATGAGGACCCTGAGCTCTAAGTCTCCTCAGGCTGAGAAAACTAAAGGTTGGGAGGTGTTAGGGGTCTAGGGGTAGAAGTGGCTTTCTTCTGAATTGACCCATGGTGGGCTTTCCATACAGGGTCCTGAGGTAGAGAAAAGGAAGATACTTGAAAGGCTAAATGAGGGTTGATGAATGGGACAGTGAGACAGAGATGATGGACAAAGAGACAGATGCAGAGACCCCACTGGATCCTCCCCCAGGTCCAGCTCCCAGGACAGGCATTACACCAGACCTAGGAGTCTCCAGCCCTAGATATGCTTGAGCCTCCTACAGGGAGTGACAGCTGCTCCTGTCCCCTCACTCGCTTGCACATGTGGGTACACCAAGCCAGCACCTACCTGCTTCCTGGTTGGGCAAACATGTCCATCTGCAATCAATTGCTCATGCTTATGTGGGGCATAGGCTGGGCTAGGGGAAACTGAAGCTGCCTGGGACACTCACAAGTATGTTGGGTGTGAGTTCATAGAAACCTGGGCGCAGAATGCCCTCCAGCCTCCAGTTCAGCACTCATGTAGGAGTTATGGTTCCGTGTACACTCAGCTCCATCTTTCCCTCCTTGTCTTTGATTCTCTTTGTCTCTTCATCTGTATCTTTCTGTCTCTTTTTTCTGTGTGTGTCTCTCTGTCTTCTTCAATCTCCTAGTTCCATCTTGGCTCCATCCCTGAAGTATCTCTGCCCACCTGCTCACCCTCATTTGCAAAGAAGTCCAGCGTCTTCTGTCCATGGACAGGTTGGTGTCCAGGCCAACACTCGGGGGGGCTGTGTCTCTCTGTGTTCCAGGCAGGCTGCATTCATGGCACCCCCGAGCGAGGAGACGCCTCTGATCTCTCAGCGTTCCTGCAGCCTCTCATCCTCAGAGACTGGCGCCTTGCATGTGCTGCTCCCCCCAAGGGGCCCAGGACCCCCTCTGCGGCTATCCTTCTTCTTTGGGGATCACTCGGCTGAGGAGTTGTGCGTGCGGGCTGCCAAAGCTAGTGGTGAGTGCACTTGGCCAGGGATGGAGGGAGGGGGGCTCTGGGAAGCAGCTGCAAGAGGCAGACTGGAACTGAAGCTTTGAGGGATGAGTAGGAATTTGGTAAATTTCTACTGGTATTTAAGTGTTCAGCTCCTAGTCTAAAGGTCAATAGTTTGAACCAGTGGCTCCTCCGGAGAAACATGTGACAGACAGTCTGCTGCTGTAAAGATTCGAAGCCTTGGAAACCCTGGGGGACAGTTGTACTCTGTCTTATAGAAATGCTGTAAGTCAGAATCCACTTGATGACAACAGGTTTGGTTTCACGGGAGGAAGATACACAGGGTGAACCTCTAGGCTAAAAGGAAGGTCATGTGTGAAGTCTCAGGTGTGGTAACACAAAAAGGCAACCACTGGTCATCTCTTGAGGAAAATGTAGTGGGAGGAGGTGGTCTGGGGAGAGGGGCAGGGAGCCTTGAAAACCATACTGAGTGGTTTCTTTCCTGAGGGAGCCCCGGAGAATGTGTGAACAGGGGTGGGATATGGTGTCAAGTCTAAAGATGAGGAACAAACCAGTGGCACTGCGTGGGGTGGCCCTGGCAGTCATTCTGGGGACAGGTGGGACAACTCAGAAGGCAGTTGACAGGGTTGTCCCTACAGGAATCCTGCCCGTCTACCATTCCCTCTTTGCCTTGGCCACCGAGGATCTGTCCTGCTGGTTCCCCCCAAGCCATGTCTTCTCCGTGGAGGACGGGGATACTCAAGTCCTGGTCTACAGGCTTCGGTAGGAAATGTTCCCTTTCCTCCTGAAGGTGTAGGCTAAAATGATATCCAGACCTGAAACCTTCTGCAAAGGTTTTAGGAGATGGAAGATCAAAATGACAGTTGACCCTACAATGTTGTACCTCCTGGTGTCCCCTGGGTGGACCTGACCAGATGAGGGAACAGAGGCTAGAGAGGGTGGGTCTCTTGCCCAAGGTCACACAGAAAGTCAATGACACAACCCACATTTGAAAAGGCCTCCACAACTCTCACCACACTCCTACCCATGCGGAGAACACAATGTTCCACAACCCCAAGACTCTCCCCCTGTCTGCAGCTTTTACTTCCCCAACTGGTTTGGGCTGGAGAAATGCCACCGCTTTGGGCTACGCAAGGATTTAGCCAGTGCCATCCTTGACCTGCCAGTCCTGGAACATCTCTTCGCCCAGGTGAGACTCTCTAGGGGCTTGGTCAGGGTTTGAGGTCAGTAGGGCAACACCAGGACTTGCAGCTAGGTGGCCTCTGCTGACCCTTCCTATGACAATCTACGGTTGGGGCTCAGCCTAGAGTTGGGGATCAACCTAAGGGTGGGGGGGTCACATAAGGACTTGTGATTGTGTGACATCTGCTGACTCTCCCTGGGACAGGCCAGGATTGGAGGATAGCTTTGGGTGGGGCTCAGCCTTGGGGTGGGAGTCAGCAGAGCATCGGCAAGACTCATGGTTGGGTGGCATCAGCTGACCCTCCCTGTGGTAATCTAAGGTTAGACATTAGCACTGGGTTGGGGGTCAGCTCTTGGCTAGGATCAGCAGGGCCATACCAGGGCTCATGGTTGTGGGGGTCTTGGTTGACCCTTTGCATCCCAGGGATGAGAGTCAGCTCAGAGTTCAACTCAGGGTGGGAAGTCAGTCAGCTCTGGGTTGAGGGTTAGCAGGCTCACATCAGGATTCATAACTGGGCAGCCCTGACTGTTCCTCCTTGTGGTAACCTGGGGTGGGGGACAGCTCTGGGTTGGGGGTCAGGGACTCTTGGTTGATCAGCCTTAGCTGACCCTCCCTATGGATGGCACCCAGCGGCGCAGCGACCTGGTGAGCGGTCACCTCAAGGTGGGACTCAGCCTCATGGAGCAGGGTGACTACCTCAGCCTGTCAGTGCTGGATCTAACACAGATGGCATGGGAGAAGGCCCAGTTGCCAGAGAAGCTGCTTCAGACCGTCAGGTGAGGGTCCAGGCAGCTGTGGGTTTCATTCTGGGTTTCTTCAGGAGACCTCAAAGGGCTGTTCTCCCACAAGCCTGCAGGGGTGATCATGCGTCCCAGGGTCCGCCCCTACCTCTGGCCCACAACGTCAGCTTGAACTGAACTAGGCTCGGCCTCCCTGCACTTGGAAGCACTGCTGTCCTCTTATGGCCCCGCCCCAAGCTTAGGTCCTACCCCGACTCCAATTCCTGAGTGTGTTGCTTTGAGTCCCTGTGTTCCCCCAGGGATCCCTCCCCACCCCCACACGGGCTCCTCAGCTATGAGATACGGCTTTATGAGCGTCCTCTCTGTCCCTGAGGGAACTCACACCGAGACCCCTCCCTCTGCAGTTACAAGACCTGCCTGCCGCCCAGCCTGCGCCACCTTATCCAAGGCCTCAGTTTCGTGACACGGAAACGCATTCGGAGGACAGTGCTCCAGGCCCTGCGCCGTGTGGCTGCATGTCAAGCCGACAGGCAATCGCTCATGGTCAAGTACATCATGGATTTGGAGCGGCTAGACCCGGCGGGACTCTCGGAAACCTTCTGCGTGGGCCTTCCGGGGACTTCCAGCAGCCAGGACCAGAAGGGGTTGCTGACTGTGGCTGGAGGCAGCGGCATTGCCTGGAGCTTCGGAGAGCACGAGGTGGGGCGTGGCGCAGGGCGGGACTAAGAGGGAGGATGGGCCAAGAGAAGAGGGGACTGAATGAATGAGCAGGGCTCAGGGTGGGGCAGACAGGGGACTAGGAGAGTGGGCGGGGATAACCGTGAGGGTGGGGCTGAGAACCCAAAGGACTTAGAGCTAGAAGAGTCCTGGTGTGGCGCTGTAGGATAAGCCACAAGGTTGGCGGTTCGAACCCACCAGCAGCTCCTTGGAAACCCTATACAGGGTCGCTATGAGTCGGAATCAACTCCGCGGCACTTAACAATAAAAATAGGCAGGAGACAGGTTGGGTGAGAGAGGCTCTGGGTGGGTGTGGGTAGTGTGGGCGGGTCTAGAAAGGAGGGCGTACTAGGAGGGGGCGTGACTCGTGGCTGGGCTAATTGTTTTTAAGTGTCGTCTAGTCGGTTCCGACCCATAGCGACCCTGTATCGATAGGGTTTCCAGAGAATGGCTGTTGAGTTTGAACTGCCGACCTTGCAATTCAAACCCATCTTGCAGTCAAGTATGTTCTTGTTAAATGCTGTAAAGTCCGTTCTGACCCATAGTGAGCCTGTATAGGGTTTCTGAGGAGCAGCTGGTGAGCTTGAACCGCCGACCTTAGGGTTCAAACCGACTTTGCAGTCCAGCGTTTTAACCCACAGCACCACACCAGGACTCCTCGAATCGGTTCTAACTCATAGCGACTGATGGGTTTGAAACACCGATTTTGTGGTTGGCAGTCTAGTGCTAATCGTGCAGCGCCACACCAGGAGTCCCAGAAACTCTAGAGAGGGTCACTATGAGTTGGTACCGGAACCGACTCAACAGCACTTAACAATAACTTTACGAGGGGATTTCAAAAAGTTCGTGGGAAACGGAATTAAGAGAAAATGCAAAATTTCCACGAACTTTTTGAAACTTCCTTGTGTATGGGTGCAACTAAACTAAGGAGTCTCGGTGAGGGCGTGGCTCATAGTTGTTGTGAAGTGCCGTCGAGTCGGTTCCCACCCATAGCGATCCTGTATAGGGTTTCCGAGGAGCAGCTGGTGAGCTTGAACCACCGATCTTGCAATTCATAGGGCTTTGCAGTCTGGCGCATAAACCCACAGAGTCACACCAGGACTCCGTGGCACATAGGGAAGAATTTAAAAAGGAGTCTGGCTTCTGGAAGAAAAAAGGGCTTGGGAGGGTTGGGGTTGGGAGATGGGGCATAACTTGGGACGGGGTGGGGCTCACAGGGACATCTCTTTGGGGTCTGTGGGATTCAGAGGTGGGCGTAGGATAGTGGAGGTAGTTTTCTCGGACTGGCAGAGAAAAGGACGAGGAACTTGACGGGGTGGGGGTAGGATTGAAAAAGAGGCGGTTAATGAGAAGGGTGAGGTGGGAGGGATAAACGGGGGTAGGGAGTGGGGTGAGAGAATCTAGGCGGCAGGAATTATGGAAAGGTCGGGTGGAAGGAGGCGGGGCTGAGAAGGATGGGGTGGGGTTCCAAGCGATACTGGGGACCTAGCCGAGATTCTCCCTCCCCACTAGACCCTCCAGCCCTTCTGCGACTTTCCCGAAATCGTTGACATCAGCATCAAGCAGGCCCCGCGCGTGGGCCCGGCTGGGGAGCATCGCCTGGTCACCGTCACCAGGACGGACAATCAGATCCTGGTGGGTGTCTGAGCCCCCTTCCTTTCCGCCTTTCCATGAGGGCAAGGCCGGGAGACCAGCCCCATCTCACCACGGTGGGCGCTGATGCGGATCCCGTACAGGAGGCCGAGTTCCCGGGGCTGCCGGCGGCGTTGTCTTTTGTGGCGCTCGTGGACGGCTATTTCCGGCTAACCACAGACTCCCGACACTTCTTCTGCAAGGAGGTGGCACCACCGCGGCTGCTGGAGGAGGTGGCCGAGCAGTGCCATGGCCCAATCACGTAAGAACCTCTTAAGCAGTCAAACCCACCCGGTCCCCATCCGGGGCCACCAAGTCACTCCCTTTCTCAGCTTCTTTGTTCCCTCTTCCTGGGCTTGTCCAAGGAACCCTAGATAAGCGGTCGGGCGCTTGGAACTGAGCGTGGTACAAATTGAAGTTCCTGGTACCTAGTTGGGACTCATTGAGGCTGGGGCTTCGCATCCGCAGACCCCCGCTCTGACCGGCGTCTTAGAGCCATTTCCTGGGGTTTCACCAGGTTTCACTTGCCTCCAGTTTTTCAATCCCTAAAGCGTTTTGTCTCATTTTACAGATGAAGGAAGAACTGTTAGCTCACAAGAGCCCAGGTCCCCATAGTGATCCAGATTTTAACCTAGTCTGACCTTCTTTCTCTATCTTTGATACTTTCCCTCCCCCACTGCTATTTCCCACCCACCTGTTTCCACAGACTGGATTTTGCCATTGACAAGCTCAATGCAGGGGGCGCATTCCCTGGCTCCTACATTCTCCGCCGCAGCCCCCAGGATTTTGACAGTTTCCTCCTCACTGTGTGTGTCCAGGTTCGATCCTTAGTTTTCCTCCCCTACCCTGAGGGTCCACCCTCTAGTGGCTATGAGGACAGAACAGGCTATCTGGAGAGAAGGACATAAAAGATGTGACCATAACTGCTTAGTGACTATGGGGGAGGAACAGCATTCTCTGTGGTGGGAACAGCATATACAAAGGCCTAGAGACTAGAATAAGCTCTGGGTACTTAAGGAAGAGGGAGCCAGGGGGAGGCTGATGCTCACTCTCATTCAGAGACCACTCCCCTCTGCAGACGCCCCTTGGCCCCGATTACAAGGGCTGCCTCATCAGGCGAAACCCCACTGGAACCTTCTCCCTGGCTGGCCTTGGCCGGCCCCACAGTAGCCTTCGAGAGCTTCTGGCAGACTGTTGGGATGGTGGACTGCATGTGGATGGTGTTGCACTGAAACTCACTTCCTGCTGCCTTCCCAGACCCAAAGGTGAGCTCCCTCTCTCCCTGTATCTGAGTGATCCGGAACCTCTAACTTTCTGTGTCTGTTAGAACTTTATGTGGCAAGCGGAAGAAACTACAGGCTTCCTTCAGGCATAGCTGAATCCAGGAACAGCTGGAACCTGGAGATGTTATAAAGCATAGCCTCTCTTCATCTCTTACGTCTTCTGGGTGAATTTCACACACAGGCATTTTAGATAGGACAACTCTGCGATATGAGTTCTCTAAAGTATCCCAGACTGAGTCCTGGTTATCAGAAACTCTGTTCATTGCTGCCGCTGTGGGGCTCCTTTCCTCCCTGTCTCACATCCCCTGCCCTTACCAGGGTTTTCTAGGATGACTTTTCAAATAAATCACATGCCCCTGAGTCGGCTTCTGGGAGGGGCCACCAAATGAAAACAGGTAGTAATCCTTGGGGACATTTCACTTGTGACCTCTGATTTCCTCATAGAAAAGTCCAACCTGATTGTGGTCCGAGGAGGTTGCAGCTTGCCCACGTCGTCCACCATTCAGCCCCAATCCCAATGCCAGTTAAGCCAGATGACGTTTCACAAGATCCCCTCTAACAGCCTGGAGTGGGTGAGGGGTCTTGGGGGGTGGGAATGGAGTGGGACCTCACTGTCTGGGGTTCCAAGACCTGGGTCTGCACCCATCTCTGCTGTGTGACCTCAGGCACATGATATAAACTTCCTATGCCTCAGTTTCTCTACCTGAAAATGAGATCAGTGCCTAGGCTTTGCTCAGGGAACTGGGGACTGGGAGCCCTCTCATGGGTCCCTCCTGCTGCTCCTTCTCCCCTTAGCATGAGAACCTGGGCCACGGATCCTTCACCAAGATTTACCGGGGTCATCGTCATGAGGCTGTGGATGGGGAGGTCTGGGAGACTGAGGTTCTGCTCAAGGTGATGGATGCCCAGCACAAGAACTGCATGGAGGTGAGGGGGAGGGACAGAGTGGGTCTTCGGGACCAGAGGCCAGGGCTCAGAGAAGTTTAAAAACACTAAGCGTGTAAAACAATAGAAGCGTAGTAGCCAGGGCATCTCTAAACCAAGCAATATGGAAGAGTCAAGCCCAACAGAAAGTGTACCAGGCAGAGGAACAAGTGCAAAAGCCCTGGGGTAGCAAGGTTGGAGAAGAGCTAGGGAGGGGAAAAGGGTGTGTGTGGATGGAGATAGCTGCAGGGACTAGATCCTGAACCTCCCATTTGCGTTAAAGAAATCAAGACAGATTCTAGGGGAACATCTGTCCTCCAACAGAAAATCATTAGATAGGGAAATATTGGCACTAATGGTGGGCCCCAGGGGTGAAAGGAAACCAGCGGTCAGGCGGCTGTCCCCTTAGGCAAGTTTGCAAATAGCCAAGTTTGGGGTCCACATATTCGTCTCTCTCTCCTTCCCTCCCCCAGTCATTTCTAGAAGCAGCAAGCTTGATGAGTCAGGTGTCCTATCAGCATCTTGTGTTGCTCCACGGCGTGTGCATGGCTGAAGACAGTGAGAAAGCACCCCCGTTTGCCAGCTCCTAGTCCCACCCAAGCCCCAGACTGCTTCTCTCCCCACTGGACCCCTACATGGCAGCACCAACAGATGGAGCCCATGACCACCACTGAATGTCACCCTGCATTCATTCCTCCTTGGGCTGTGGCTCCAGATTCCACCAATACCCACCCCCAAAGATGTTTTGGGTTGGACAGTCCTGAGTTTCAGTCTCATTTTTGCTGTGCACCCATTCTCCAAGACTTGGTTTCATCCTTAGATTAGTTTAGCTGCAATTCAGCCAAATGGGTCAGAAAATAGGGACACAACATAAAGTCAGGGGGAATAGTAGAGATGATATCAGAGCTGGCACCTTAAAGATTGAGTCGGAATTCACCAGGAAGGGATGGACAGCATAGAATGTGACAGACTGGGGCTGTGTGATAAATAATCAGTGAGTGATGAGGGCAGCTTAGGGAATCACCAAAGGTCAGAAGAAGCTGTTGACTCATCCTCAAGGTTTTCACAGCTTCTGAGTGGGCCAGGGAGGTGGTCAGGTCAGCAGGGGGGCTAGACTACAGAGGGCCAAACAGGCTTCAAGGAGTCTAGGGAGGATACTGGGACATGGTCTGAGCAGGAACAAGTGGCCTTTAAAGGATGTGTAGGAGTTGGCGTTCTAAGGTAGGAAAGTAAGGATAAATCAGACTTAAGGAGAGGAAGAGGGATGCTCTAGGCAGAGGGACCAACCTACAAAAAAAGCTGCAAGTGAGGTAGAGAGTGAGCTTGGTACCTTGCAGGCATCTCAGTCAAATATTTTAGAGATGGAAGGCAGTAAAGGGGATGAGGACTAGGATGGAGATGCTGGAGATGAAGAGTCAGAGAAGAGTTCGGACTGAGCTTGGTTGGGGACAGAATATGCTGACTACAAGTCCAGTCCAGCCTTACACTCCTATTCTCCCTGCCACCACTAGGCATCATGGTGCAAGAGTTTGTGCACCTGGGGGCGCTGGATACATACCTGCGCAAGCATGGCCACCTGGTGCCAGCCAGCTGGAAGTTGCAAGTGGTCAAGCAGCTGGCCTATGCTCTCAACTACCTGGTGAGTACCGTTTTGCCTCTTCAACCCTCCATTCACAGGAAAGCTGCTTCTGGGTGGAAAGACAATTTGGGAAGGATGCCAGGGGAAGCATTTTAGGTTGAGGAAACAGCATGTATACAAACTGAGAACAATTGGTCATCCTTGGAGCCAAAAATTGCGGGGGTGGGAGTAGTAGAAGAGATATTGGAGTTGGGGCCTTGAAGATTGAGTTGGAGTTCACCAGGAGGAGAAAGGAAGGACTTCATTTCCTTCTGCAAATGCTTGTAAGTTAGGTGTGCTTCATGTCCTGGGACTCCTCAGGCAGTTCATTTGGCAGGAAACCAGACCATAAAGCGTAGAAGAGACAGCTCACGGAAAGAGTGGGCAAGGTCCGAATCTGAAGGGCCTCAAATACCAGGCTGATTTTGTCCTAAAGGCAGTGGGGAGTTACAAGGGAGTGTTTAAGAAGGGGAGGGACACCACCAGGTCAGCATGGGGGCTGGATTACAAGGGGCCAGACAGGATGCTGTGAGTCTAGGAAGGTTGACTTTGAAGGATGTATAGGAATTTGCCAGCCAGAATATCCATTCATCAAACTCTCCCCAGCATTCTCCTCTATCTGGTCCATTTAGGAGGACAAAGGTCTCCCCCATGGCAATGTTTCAGCCCGAAAGGTGCTCCTGGCTCGGGAGGGGGCTGACGGAAGCCCCCCTTTCATCAAGCTGAGTGACCCTGGGGTCAGTCCTACAGTGCTAAGCCTGGAGAGTAAGTGCTAGAGGGCATCCGAGGGCAGGGCCTGGTGGGGTGAGGAGATGGATTCCTGACCACCCCTCCCCTGCCCCTAGTGCTCACCGACCGGATCCCCTGGGTGGCTCCTGAGTGTCTCCAGGAGGCCTGGATTCTCGGCTTGGAGGCTGACAAGTGGGGCTTCGGTGCCACAGTCTGGGAGGTGTTCAGCGGGGTCCCCATGCCTATCAGTGCCCTGGATCCTGCCAAGGTCAGAGTTTCCACCTGGCATTGGCCTTGAGAGCCCCCATTTGACAGAAGGGTAGATGAGGCCCTGCTTTCATGAGGGCTGGTTGGGTGATTTTGGCAGCAAAAGTGACCAGTCCCACCTCCCACCCCCAGAAACTCCAGTTCTACAAGGACCAGCAGCAGCTGCCAGCTCCAAAGTGGACAGAGCTGGCCCTGCTGATCCAGCAATGCATGGCCTATGAGCCAGGCCACAGGCCCTCTTTCAGAGCTGTCATCCGAGACCTCAACAGCCTCATCACCTCAGGTATGCACAGGGGGGACAGGGCCAGCTCGAACACCATCATAGACTGCTGCACAGGATACGCATGCACACGTGGATAGTACAAATGCCCAGCCATAGTGCACAGAGAGGGTGAACATGCAGATGGACTCACACAGCTAGTCAGGTCAGGAGCCTAACCTGGTTTGGGATGTACCGTTCCCTCAGATTATGAGCTCCTCTCGGACCCCACACCTAGTGCCCTGGCGCCCCGAGACGAGCTGTGGAATGGTGCTCAGCTGTATGCCTGCCAGGATCCCACGATCTTCGAGGAGAGGCACCTCAAGTACATCTCACAGCTGGGCAAGGTGAGGGGGAGGCGGGGCCCGGCGGGCGGGGCCTTCCCAGAGTAGGCGGGGTAGGGTCCCCAGCCCGCAAACTCCAGCTGCCTCTTCTAGGGCAACTTTGGCAACGTGGAGCTGTGCCGCTACGACCCGCTGGGTGACAACACGGGCGCTCTGGTGGCCGTGAAGCAGCTGCAACACAGCGGGCCAGATCAGCAGAGGGACTTTCAGCGGGAGATCCAGATCCTCAAAGCGCTTCACAGCGACTTCATCGTCAAGTACCGTGGTGTCAGTTACGGCCCCGGTGAGCCACGTCTCAACTGAAGTGTGTGTGTATGTGGGGGGGGACGGACCTTGAGACCCCACGACGTCGATGGACAGGGCACACCTCAGGGATGCGAGTTCGAATCCCAGCTTCAGTCCTTACTAATTTTTTGTTGTTGTGTCTGAGGAGCGACTGGTGAATTTGAACTGCCCACCTTGAGGTTCAAACCAGAACTCCACTATTTAACCTTTCCGAGCCTCAGTTTCCCCACCTGAAAAAGGGTCATTATGAGGTTTAAACGAAATCAGTGCACTGAAGATGCTCTAGAGATTTTAGCGATAAACGTCACTATGGCTAACCCCATTTAACAGACAGCAAAACTGAGGGAGGGCAGGAACCCAGGTCTCCCTGTAAAGGGAGTACGACGGGGCAGGAGACAGGGATGAGCCCCGCGGTGACCCTGGCTCTCCCCTAGGCCGCCAGAGCCTGCGCCTGGTCATGGAGTACCTGCCCAGCGGCTGCCTGCGCGACTACCTGCAGAGGTACCGTGCCCGCCTCGATGCCAGGCGCCTGCTCCTGTACGCCTCGCAGATCTGCAAGGTGCGGTGGTGGGGGGAAGTAAAGGGTAGGATCTGGGGGAACTCAGCCGGTTTCCTCTGAGTGGGAGTCTGCGTAGACTAAAGTAAGGGTGGAAGTTTGGGGTTCAGGTCGGGTTTTGAGGTCTAGGTCGGGCCGGGCTTGGGGTTCAAGTCTCATTTAGGACTCAGGATCAGGAGGGGGGCTTGATAAGGTCAGGGCTGGAGTCTGGGTTGGGCCCTAGGCGGGGATTGGGGTTGGTGCAAGGTCAGGTTTAGGTTCCCCCTGGGTCATTCCTAGTGTGAGTTCCCCCTTCACCCCACCGCGATATCTTCAGGGCATGGAGTACCTGGGCTCCCGCCGCTGCGTGCATCGTGACCTGGCAGCTCGCAACATCCTGGTGGAGAGCGAGGCACACGTCAAGATCGCCGATTTCGGCCTCGCCAAGCTGTTGCCACTTGACAAGGACTATTACGTGGTTCGCGAGCCAGGCCAGAGCCCCATCTTCTGGTGGGGACCCTACCGGCCCACGGCCCACCCCTTCTCCCTAAGCTTCACCCCCAGCCCTGACCCAGTTCCTGCGCTCTTACAGCCAGGATCTCACACCCCTAAGACCACGTCTCTTGACCCCCTTACTCCTACTGCCCTGGACGTTTTTTTTTTTTTTTTCCTCCTGTAGCCTTGTACTAAGGAGCTCTGGTAGCTTAGTGGTTACGAATCGGGCTGCGAACCTTAAGTCAGCGGTTCGAAACTACCAGCCGCTCCTGGGGAGAAAGATGAGGCTTTCTACTCCCGTAAAGATTTACTGTTGTTGTTAAGTGCTGTCGAGTTGGTTCCGACCCATAGCGACCCTGTACAGGGTTTCCGAGGGTTTAAATCTTTACGGGAGTAGACAACCTCATCTTTCTCCCACGGAGCAGCTGGTAGTTTCGAACCGCTGACCTTAAGGTTTGCAGCCCGATTCGTAACCACTACGCTACCAGAACCTTAAGGCCAGCAGATTTACACCCTCGGAAACCCTGTACAGGGTCGCTATGGGTCGGAACCGACTCGACGGCACTTAACAACAACAACAACAATAACATAGCCTTGTACTACCCTCTCTTTCCTAACCCCCTACCCTCATCCCACCCCCTACCTGGGCCCTGGCCACGCTCTCCTCAGGCCCCCACCTCACTTCTGACTCCGCCCCATTCTCTCCTCCCACTCACAGCCCTGGCCCAACCCCACCCACCCTTCATTCTGGCCTCACCCCTTATCCCTGGCTCCGCCCTTCACCCCCTCTAGCTCACCATCCAGGCTCCGCCTATCCAGGTGTTCCCCTGCTCCACAAGCCTGGCCTTGCTCCCTCCTCTCCTACAAGCTTGGAAACTCTCCACTTCCATCCCATAGCCAAGGAAACTGAGACTCCTGGGGATGGGGACTGGCCTCGCTATCCTGCTCTCCCAGTCCACAGGGTCCCGCTCTCGGCCACGCTCTTGCATGCCAAGGCATGTCTGTCCCCTCAGGTATGCCCCCGAATCCCTCTCGGATAACGTCTTCTCGCGCCAGTCAGACGTCTGGAGCTTCGGGGTCGTCCTGTACGAGCTCTTCACTTACAGCGACCGGAGCTGCAGCCCCTCAGCAGTGAGTGGCTCTTGGCCCCTCCTCCTCCTCCCCCCCTCCCCCACGCCCCTTCTCAGCCTGGATCGCTTGCATCCCAGCCTCGTACTCCTTTATCCTGGCTGACCTCCCGCCTACCAAGGGCAGACTCCTCCCCACCACAGAGGGCTCTCCCCCACCGCGGGTGCTCCCTCCTCACTCTAGGAGTTCCTGCGGATGATGGGATGTGAACGAGAGGCCCCGGTCCTCTGCTGCCTCCTGGATCTGCTGGCCAACGGCCAGAGGCTGCCCGCGCCCGCCGGCTGCCCTGCCCAGGTGAGCACCGCAGGGCCTGTCACAGTTGCCCTGATTGGCTCTGGGGTCTCTGTCAAGCAAGCTGGCCCTTGGGCTTCTCCCCCCCCACCCCCCATCCCTTGGGTATGAAGCCAAGGGGAGTCTGGCTTTCACTTTGCTACTAGTTCACCGTACAACAGATCCCAAACACTTTCAGAACTTCCGTTTACTCGTCTCCAAAATGGGAATTTTTGTTGTTAAGTGCAGTCCAATTCATAGCGACCCTGTACAGGGTTTCCAAGGAGCAGCTGGTGGGTTTGAACGGTGGGGTGCGGCCAGAGCAGTACCTGTTACCAAGTACTCCGCTAAGAGTTAGCACACAGTTGTTGTTAAGTGCCGTCGGTAGCGACCCTGTATAGGGTTTGTTTCCGAGGAGCGGCTTGTGAGTGTTAACCTTGGACCTTTCGGTTCAAACGACCTTGCGGTCCTACAGCGCCCCATCAGGATTCATCAATAAATGGTAGTTAACTATAGTGTACACTTACAACTTGGATGCAAATGACTGACATGTAGTTGGTCATTCATAAATGAATTCACCCAGCCCACAGATTTTCATTGACTCCTAACTGTATACTAAGCTCTGTGCTGAGCTCTAAGAAGCAAGCAGGGATCAGAACAGATAGTACCACATCTTCCAATTTTTATTAGGTGCTTTTCAGTCAGTTCCTAGTCATAATGAATGGCCCTATATGTAACAGAACAAAACACTACTAGGTTCTGTGGCAGCACACACTCATTGTTAAGTCAGAACCCTTTGTTGAGGGTCTTCCTCTTTTTCACTGACTCAGTTTCCCAAGGATGGTATCCTTCTCCAGGGGTTGGTCCCTCCTGATAACATGTCCAAAGTATGTGTAAGTCTCTCCAGCTTCACTTTGAAGGAGCATTCTGGCTGGATTTCTTCCAAGACAGATTTGTTCCTTCTTTTTAGCAGTCCGTGGTATATTTCGTATTTCTCACCAACACCGTAATTCAAAGGCATTCATTCTTTTCAGTCTTCCTTCCTAACTTCCACATGGATATGATGTGACTTAAAATACCATGGCTGGGGTCAGGTGCACTTTAGTCCTCAATATGACGTCCTTTTTAATATTTGAATCTTTTGCAGAAGATTTGCCCAATGCAGTATGTCATTTGATTTCTTGACTGATGGATGCATGGGCCTATTGGGCATCTAAGTAAAATGAAATCTTTGAAAACTTCAATATTTCCTGTTTAGTGCTTATTGGTCCAGCATTTTGTTTTCTTCACATTGAAGAATACTGCCATACTGAAGGCTGTAGTCTTGGTCTTCATCAGTAAGTGCTTCAAATCTTTTTCCCTTTCAGTAAGCAAGATTGTGTCATCTGCGTATCACAGGTGGTTAATGAATCTCCCTCTAATCCTGATGCCACATTTTTCTTCATATAGTCCAGCTTCTTGTAGTATTTGCTCAGTATATAGATTGAATAAGTATTATGAAAGGTTACAACCCTGACACACACCTTTCCTGATTTTAAACCAGTTAGTATCCCGTTGTGCTTTTCAAAGGACTGCTTTTAGATCTGTGCACAGCTTCTGCAGGAGCACAATGAAGTGTTCTGGAGTTCCCACGCTTCACACTGTTATTTCTAATTTACCATGATCCACACAGTCAAATGCTTTTACAAAGGCAGTAAAGCACAAGTAAACATCTTTCTGGTATTCTCTGCTTTCAGCTAAGATTCATCTGACATCAGCAATGATATCCCTCATTCGGAATCTTACATTTCTGGCAGCTCCCAGGCAATGTACTTCTGCAACTGTTTTTGAATTCTCTTCAGGAAAATTTTACTTGAGAGTGTGATATTAATCATAATTTTTTAGTTCTGTTGTATTACCTGTCTTTGAAAAAGGCATAAATATAATTCTCTTCTAGTTTGTTGAAACATTTCAATTGGTATTTTGCCAATTCCTGGAGCCTAATTTTTTTTTTTTTTTTAACCAGGGCCTTCAGTGCTGCTTCGTGAAATGGTTGAACATTGACCAATTCTTTTTAGTACAATGACTGTGTATTACTTCCATCTTCTTTGCCCGCTTCCTGTACAATTCAGCATTTTCCCCATAGAATCCTCAATATGACTATTTATTTTAATGCTTTATTGTGAATTATATGATAATTTACATGAGAGGACATCAGCTTCACATTGATCCTGATCAGCTTCATATTGATCCCGTCGTATATC